GTAAAGTGCTCAACCAAATACAAAGTGTTAAATATTATGTGCAGTTTAGGTTGGAGATTATGTGTTTCAATCCTGGAGCATATTACCTGAGTTTCAACTCCAGCTTTGTCCCTTTTTACCTGTGTGACATAGGGAACTTAAACTGTGCCTCAGTTTTCTGATCCATAAATGCGAAGAGAAATCACATAATGTTGAGGTGGAGATCAAAGGAGTTACTATATGTAATGGGCATAAAGTAGTGCCTTGCAATCACACTAGCTGTTGTATTGTTATGTACATGTCAGCACAAAATTGAATGCTGACACAAGTGCACTGGAGTGAATTACTTTGAAATTTAAAAAAATCCTGTATTTATGCCTCAAGCAATATAGTTCTTTGTTTATCTAACAAATTCATATTTGATTATAAGCCATTAGTGACAGTTAATAAATGGAACTGTGTTGAATTGAGCAGTTATGTGTGACTATTTCTCAGAAGCTTACTTCTCTTGATATTTGTATCAACTCCACTCATTAATGCTGACTTAATCACGTATGGTTTATATTGTTCTTGACCATCATGTTTATATCTAAGTGAAAGGTTTTCAACCCTGATAACACATTAGAAGCAATTGGGTCCCCCAAGACTAGTTGAATTGAAAAATTTGGGAGTGACCCTCAGGCATTGGTATTTTTTATAAGCTCCTTAGGTGATTTTAATGTGCTGGCTAAGTTGAAAACCACTGTCTTAGAGCAGCAATAATTAAATATATATCAATATCATTTAGTTTCCAATATTGATATATGATTTTCTCATATTTAAGAAAATAAAATAACATGGCTATTTATGGATGTTTCTTTAAAGGCAGACGTATTGTTGCCATTAATTTTGTAGCTTATGGATATGTATTATAAAGCAGACGTAAGTTTGTTTTTAAATTATCTGTGGACTTTTTGTTTGTTTTTGGCAAGACGAAGTGTTGTGTATATCAAAAAAGAATATAGGGACACAGAATGTTAAAGGTGAGAGGAACCCTCAAAGCATCTGTTGGAAAGAGGACACACTTTGAAGCCAATCCTGAATTGCAATTACTTATTCATTTACTATCTGTGTGACCTTGGGGTACTTAATCAATCTGAGCCTCAACTTCTTCATCTCTGTAAACTTAAGATGACCGTGTACTTTGTACGATGACAACTGTGTTTCATGGCACGTGCGGGTGCGCGCGCGCACACACACACACACACACACACACACACACACACCCTTGACTCCGTGCCTCCTGCCTGATCTCCGCACCATCTGGGACGGATATCCAGAGCAGGGACTGTGTGGGAGCCTCTGCAGGGCTGTCTGAGCTTGCAAGGCCAGCTGCTGGGAACTGCTTCCTCCCACTCCTCAGGGATCATTTCTCTGGCTCTGCTGGGACAGTTTTATGGCTAGCTCTTTGGATCCCATGACCTTTCATGAGCATCACATTGAGTCTGTGGGGTTCAGTAATTGCTGGCTGACTACAGTGAAGTTGGCCAACTAGTGTTAATGAGACTGGAAGTGAAGATGGCTTCTTGTTGCCACATGATGGAAGCTTTTGGGTACCTTCTGTGTGAGTCCCAGGCAATATGTGTGCAGGGCACAGATGGCTGCTTTCTTTTCTAGCTGTCTTCCTATCCGTTGCTCCTTTGTGTTGAGTAGGGACAATAAGACAATAAAAGCCACTATCTATATCGTAGTTTGGGGGAAGCAGAGAAAGAAACATCATAGACTTCTTTGAGTTCCTTTTTATGATTAGAATATTGGATTTTGTCTCCTCCCTTATCCCTGTCTCTCAGATAATCCAGTATACAGCAGTAAAATTATTAGGCCACATAGCTTTCCTGTTATACTTTCTTTGTGTTCTATGAAGGAAGTTCATGGGTTGTTTCTTATTAGTTATAAAGCATATTGCCTGGAGTCCTGATCTTTGCTGTGATGCTTCAGTGTCCTTCCCACTTGGAGGCCTGCCTTTAGGTCTATCCTCAATCTTAACTTTGAGAATTCTGCCTTTGTCACCATCTCCCTGGACTGATCTGAAGGTTTCATTGGAAATATTCATAAATTTGGCTTCCAGTTTCCTATTTTTTCCTCTGTCTACTGGAATCAGCACCATTTTCTCATTGTAGCAGTAGTGGTAGGTCTTGTGGGGTGGATGTTCTAACCTGAACCTTGTGCTCTTCCACTTGATTATGAGACTCTTGAGGGCAGGAACCATGCTTTTCATCTGAGCACGGTCACAACTATCATTTATTATGCACCTACAAGAGACTCTGCTTTGTTTCAATTAATTTCTGTACAAATAAGGCATATGTAAAGAATCTTATTTCAGAGAGCTTAAGTCAATTGCACAGGGTCACCTAGTGAGTCACAGAGCTGGATTTTGAACTCAGCTTTACCTCTTTTCTAAATCACCTTTCTAAACTCCTTCTTAAAAGAGAGGAAATACATAGATGAGAGGAATGGGATCTTGACCTGCAGAAGGTTGGATGGAACTGTTGAGTAGGGTACAGATACGGAGTTGCATTCTAAGGAAGAGGAGAGAAAGTGTGTAATAGCCCTTGCATTGCCCACTGATATACACTGACTCGCATCACGGGCATATATGGACACTTAATAAATGGACCCTATGACCGTCAAGGCAGATGTCACCCCTATAGAACGTTTTGGCCTACATGTGGGTCTTAAATTCGTGCTTTTTTACTTAGATCAGAGAGACCCTGAGATTATGTGAGGATGTCTCTCACTGATCAAGCCATGGGTTGAGCAATGAGGCAAACTCTGAAGAAGATTCCAGTGAATCCCCTGAGATAAGGCATTCCAAGGCATCAGGTCTGCGTTGAAGTCGGCCTTGGCCTGCTGAAGATCAGGAGACTCTGCAGTCAGCCTCTGCTTGTAGTTAGACCATCAAAATGTGCCCACTGGCCTTGGCAAGTAACAGGACGTATATAAATGCTTCATCAAGCTGAAGCTTTGGTGAATGTGCCCCGCGAACATTTTCCTTTTAATATATTTGGAAACTATAAATTTAACTCCTCGGGGAGTAAAAGTAATTGTTTCACAAGAGAAAAAAGTTAGCTCTTTAAAAGGCTTAACTCCTTTCACAAACATGTGCTTTTTAATGACTGGGAAATTCCTGGGACAGGAAAAAAAAAAGTCCTTTTGTACAAATGAGGTCATTCTGATCTTAACTGGCCCTGTGCTCTCTAGTTCCTGCTTTCTGTTCCATGTTTTGTGACCAGAGGTTATTGGAAGGATAATCCCCCTGTGGATATTCACTGCTTTTAGGGCATGTTGCCAAAGAGAAAGTTATCTTAGCTCAGAAACTGCCAAGCCAGTGCAAGAGGCCCAGATCCCAGGGGTACTGAGCCAGTAGCTGATAATGACTTGTTTAGGATGGCTGTGGGTTGGGCTTTTAAAGCAAACTTTTCATGAGCTGTAGGATTTCTGCGTCTGTTTCATCCTCTTCAGATTTCTCAACAGCTCCATTGCTTCTTGGTTCAGGAAAGACTTTTCTTTCCTAGGTACATTCTATTTACTCTGCTTTGATTTAATTGTGATGAGTAGGAACATTTGTGACAGTTTGAGGCCTCACATTCATCTTTTTAACCTGGTATAAATGAAAAACAGTTGTTGAAAGAAATTGCCTTGGTCCTCTTTCTTTGAACACTTGGAGGCCGATTCTTCCTTAAAATTAGTTTCTGAATTGGCTTGGCCAAAGTGACGCATGTGTCTGAGGCCTTAGATTTGCTCAGCGTAAGGGTTCTCCTAAATGATACTGTAGAGAAGATCTCAGTGGGTGCTCTTGATTTAATTGAAGTTCACTTTCCTCTAGTTTTAAAACAACTACTTCCTACCATGGAGGGATGTTGAAACTTTGAAGTGTTAGGTAGGGAGATTCTTCCATCTATCGTGGATGTTTTCACAGAGGTGAACATGGAAGGAAGTCAAGTGAATCTTTACAACAAACTCTGTTAAAAAAAATTAAATATTTTTAAGACAACCACTCTGAAGATTAGGGATGGGAGATAAACCAGTATTTCTTAACTACTTTTTAGGTCACCACTCTGTGCTAGATCCGTTCTGCAGATTACCCTTTTAGACTTGTCTCGGTTCTTACTGTAGTTGGTTTAGTGGCAGCCCGCTAGTCACCAAACTACCCCGCTGCCTCACATCTCAAAGTGTCTGTGTCACAGTCATTATGTCCCCCTACAATTAATCCGTGGCTATAATGACCAGTATTTTGATAAGCCTTTGATAGTTTTTTTCTGCTTGATTGACTACAACTTTTTATTATTTAAAAAATTTACACTCTTGCCACTAAGAATTTGGTTTTTATCATAATTTATTAATAAAATCTGTTCTGGGATCTTGGTGTCCCTTTCATGGCTCCCTAGGTCTGAAACTCCAAGTTTAGGCTCTTTTGCCTCAATAAGTCTAAGAATGATTTCTTGATCTGAGATTAAGAAACTCTATCTCCAGTTGTCATAGAGAGGAGAGGATTATAAAATTCGGTTATGAGATATTTAGTTATTTGCTTCAGACCCCATTTCTAGCCCAGAGCATTTGTGGTGCCTCTTGGAAGCTCCAGAACCCTTTCTTGAAACCTCTTGTGTCATTGAGGAAGTCAGGCTTGCCGTGGGCATGACCCGTGTTTCTTCAGTGTACCCTCTCCCCACTGTACCCAAGGCCTAGGCTTGTTATAGGCAACCAATGAGTGTTTCATTGAACTTAATAGCTGGTACAAAAGAATTGGGGAAAATATGGCTAGGAAATGCTATCATATTTTGAAACTGGGAAATTCTGGGTAATTGCTGAGTGCCTCATAGTAGTTCCTTTGGGGGAAATACATGGCAAAATGCATGATGGGTTAATATTGTAAAGTGAAAACTCTTATGAGATCAGAGGCTACATATCTGCCTATGATGCTTAGAGTGGGAATGGCACTGATTTGCTGATAATTTATTTTTATTATTATTATTATTCTGTAGCCTCAGACGATTCAGCAGACTCTCAAGAGGACGTTGCAGTATTATGAGCATCAAGTTATTGGGTAAGTAAAAATGGATTTTGGTCATTATTGGGGGCAAATTAAAGGTAATTACTCAAACATAGCCATTGAGCATGTGGTTTTATGCCACCCAGATCAACTTTATTTCACTGGGGCTATGCTCTCAGTGTGGAGTGGGGGGGCTTATATGGGGCCCTTGGAGTGACTATCTTTGGTTTATTTGTGTTTAATCCTTTTAAATGAAATTCCCTTTTGGTATTGCTTATTCTTTCTTTTTTTCCTTCTTCTCGTGTTCTTACACTCCCATTCTCATCCATTGAATCTCATAACTTTGCCTTAGCAATGTGGTAAGACTTAATGGTATCATCTGAGAGGCTTTAAATGGGATTTTAGAATCCTTCAGTAAAGTTTAATCAAGTATTACGAGTTTCAGATAGTTCAGTGAGAGGTATTGTTTTAGCTAGAGTCACATGCCACGTAGTTTTCTTTTTAAATCCCTCATTTCTTGACATTATTGTGATATGGTGTAAAGTAAGACTTGAGGTCAAAAAAAGGAGTTCAAGTCTTCACCAGCACATAGAACTTTTAAGTTACTTTATCACTTTCATAAAGGATGAAGTTGATAATTAAATCAAGGAATAGATGTTATGATTAAAAGAGATAATTTCAATGAAAGTATTTTGTAAACAGAAAGCTCCAAATGAGTATAAGGTATACCTTTGATTGGCTATGGCAGAAAGCAATTGGCAAATACAAAATCCTGAATTCACTTTCTAATGCAATCTAACTATTTAAGTTAAATTTATTGACATTAGAAGCAATATATATTTTCAATTCACCTTGTTAATATTCTCTGTGTGCTACAGTGATTTATCATTGTAAGATTTTAAGAACTTTTGAGGAGTTAAGATCAAACCCTGGTACCTCTTGAAATACTTTTGGGAATCATTTAACATTTATGGCTAGCAGTCATTTCCATGGGAATCAAGACCATATTTTTGTCTATTAGGATGTTGTGTAATTTTTTTTAAATTTACAAAACAAAAAGGAAGAAAACTTAGTGGAAAAATAATCTCAGTACCTAGTACAATGCCATATACTTGAAGTACATGATGATTATGTTAATTGTCATTTCAAAGAGAATTGCTTTGAAAATTTGTCATATCAATCCTCAAGAGTGCAGTACTAGGAAAAACATATTATTTAAACTCATGAGATGGCTTTTAGTTTGAGGCCATTAGAGATTTTAAATGGTTTATCCTAATGGAGATAAGGAATGTCAAATTAATCTCTCCCCACACATTCTAAAATAAAACAATCACTCTCATTTGATACTCCGTTTTCCAACAATGGTGTTTGGATTACATTAGTCAACGTACTTAGACCAGTTCCTGGTATGTGGTAAGTACTACATGTTTGCTTTTAGGTTCATCATCATCATCATTATTATAAATATTTTTATGGCAATACCAGTAATCAAATGCAAATCATTTTCTGGAGTTATGAATGCCCTCTTTGTTCTGAAATCGAATAATAACTGATGAAATAGTCTCATTTGTGAACTACACTATGTCCTCAGGACAAATTGGAGTGGAAATCTTATAAATGTGATCAAAATAAATAACTAAACTATATTACCGTAATCAGCAGAAAATTCTTTTTTCCATTCGTAAGATGGAGTTTTCTTTCATCTAAATTACTGCCACAGCACTCCTCTTCTGACCCTCTATAAACATAGCCTGTGGTGATTCTTTGTTCATTGCCTAAATGGCCTTTTCTCGTTCTGTTTGGTGCAGACCCAGTATAACGAAAACACGGAAATGCATGTCTTGATGTCCAACTGGTTCCAAGTAGTCCTATTAGCATATTTGCACTTGGATGTTGGCTGTCTGCTGAGGACTTGAAGTACCTTTGCTTACTGCCTTTATTTGTACTCATGCTGATGAAGACAAAAAGGATGAGTTGGCAGAGTATTTGCTTTTCTTGACTTTGTTTTCCCTTTTCCTTCAGTCATGGCTTGTATGTCCAACTCCCTTTTTTGCCTTTTAGGCTCCTTCTTTTTGTTTTCTGTTCCTCTTTTCAATAATGAAAAAGGAGAGCACCTACTACCACTAATATTTGGATAACATATATTCACACCTATATGTTGTTTCTTTTAAGAAAATACAATAAAAGGCTTTTTATCTCTAATTGTGAAAAGGAATGCCATTCTTGCAGTTAAAGGGATTTCAGGCCCTTGAGTATAGGCACTGACAAGTATTATTGTACATATTTCTGGGACAGTTAGGGTGGGAAAGAGATGCTTTTCCTAATCCCTGAAATTGGGTTTTGCCTGAGGCTTGCCTTGAGGTAATTTAGTTTTTAGGTGCCTTGGGTTGGGATGATGAATGCCAACAGATAACAGCGAGTACAAGCCAGCCCTTGTCTTTTAATTTTTTTTTCTTTTAAATTTCTTAATTCAGCCTTTAACCACTCACCTTCCCATCCTCCCTTTCCTCTCCTTTAAAACTCTGCACTTGGATTGGCTTTATTTATCAGAGCTCCAGGATTGCATGGTTCTGCTCCTTGGTGAATTCATATAGCGGTAGCCCTTAGAAATTCTCGGAGGCAGTTTTAGTCTCCAAGACCTAGACTGGAATGCAGGGAGCAGCTGTTCAAAGCATCAGGCAGATGGAGGATTGGGAGGGAGTAGCCCATGGAGTCTCTTGTTCGGGAGTAAGATAGCCTTTCTGTATCTCAGCAACTTTATCTTTAAACGTTTATTCTAGTCCTTCACTTATCCATTCACTTGTTCGTTTATTTATTCATAGACACCATTCAAGTTGGGAAAATGAGTGCTAAAATAATTTATTCATGCAATGTGATAAATTTTCTCTTCATCTCCACTGTCACCACTGTCTCTCACCTACAAATTCCCATCTAGTTTTCTGGCTTCTACTCCTCTCCCTTAACATATTTTCAAGGCAGCAAAGTGATTAAAAAATTAGATCATGTCACTTTCTTATTTTAAACCAGTGGTTCTCAAGTGTCAGAGTGCATCAGAATCACCTGTCAGGTTTGTTAAAACAGATTGCTGGGCTCTACCCCCAGAGTTTTTCATCAGGTATGTCAGGGAGGGATTCAAGAATTGGCATTTCTAAGTTCCTAGATTATGCTGATGCTGCTGGTCCAGGGATCATGCTTTGAAATCCCTGCTTTGAACCATGTATTGATTTACTGTGAAGGAATAAAATCTGAACTCTTCCTGTGATCTGTCCTCTTGTTTACTTTTCTGATGTCACTCCCTCCCACTTCCCCTGTTGTACTCCAATCCAACCATCCATTGGTTTCTCGACTGTACCAAGCTTGTTCAGCCTCAAGGCCTTTGCATGTACTGTTCCATTTTCCTGGAATGCTCTGTTCCCAGATGTTTGTGGGGATTATTCTCTCTATACATTTAGGTGTCTTTTATACATTTAGATGTCTGTTTAACTGTGATGTCTTCAGAAGGGCCTTCCTTGACCACCCAATCTGAAGTAGCCCTCCATCCCTAACTGTCTCTAACCCCAATCATTTTTTTATTATATTACTCTTTATTATTGCTTTTCATAGTACTTATCATTAGCTTATATTATCTTGTTTATTTTATTATTTGGTTATTTGTCTTAGTATTTACTCTTATATTCCTGTACCTTTGTAAGTGCTTGGTACATAGGAGGGACTAACAATTTTGGGGGGATAAGAGGGAGAGTGTGAAGAAATGAATAAATTGCACCCTAGAAGCATGAATACAGAGGTATGTATATAGTGCATAAAAGAGTAAATTAGGCTTGGGAGGAGGTGGTAATATGAGGGGTTGAAATAATCTCCAGCCAGGGTCCATTATAGTTCTAAAATTATAGTAGTAGTATCCAGGACCCTTTTCTTTATAGCTAAATTATACTGATTTATTTGCATAGTTTTCCATTTATGCTTAATATTCTGCCACTGTGTGTCAGATTTTGTGGTCAATTTTGATTATTGTATGAACTGTGCACAAGCATGTTCACTTGGATAGCTTCTTGTTCATGTAGCACAGTCTTCTTCCCTCAACCTGAAATGAGAAGAGGTGTCATTGAGTATACATCTTTGTGCCACTTTAACTCAGGCTTCTAGGGAATGGAGTGGGTCTTCGGGCAGTGTGGGGTGGAAAGGACAGTGAGAAGCAAAAGCGTAAGTAGGAGACAGCAGCCTTCCCCTTAGGAATTTAAAGAACTCAGGAGAGAGGAAAACCTGGTTTATGATGACATTTGTTTCTGATGTCATTCTTGCCATTATCTTGTGCCCTTCCCTCTCTCTGTGCATCTTTGCTGTGTAGTATAGAGCAGAGGACTGAGGAAATGTGCTTTGGAAGTAGGCATACCAAAGTTACTAGACTTAAAATCAGATTCTGCCTTTGAATGGTCTTGGGCAGATTACATAACCTCTCAGCCTCAGTTTTCTCATTTTTAAAATGAGAATAATTGCAGGATTGGAGTGAAGTTTAAAGGGAATATTAATGATAATGATGTGTTGTCATATCATATAAAGTAGTTAGTACACAAAGGTAACCAATACACTCATTGAATTATTATTACCATAATTAGTACCTGACTCCTTTGCACCTTAATTTTTGTTGGTTGTCTTTCCCTTTATCCTCCTGCTATATCCTTTTCTCTGTCCTCCTTTAAAAGTTTGGAATCAGTTGTTTAGCATCAGGCGCTAAACATGCTCAGCTCATGTTGCAGCTATAGCTTTCTTCTTATAGAGTTTGGTTTTTTTTTTAACCTAAATTTCCACCTCTAGAGTGTCTAACCCAACTGCTGCCACTCATGTTTATACTACATTACTCCTACTGGCCCCCCCTTCCCAAAAAGGATTTCTATGGCAGTGTAGACAAAGCAGAGATTTCTTTAAAACTAAGATTGAAACACACATGGTAATCAATCTTTCTGAGATGTAATGTTCATTCATTATATGTTTTAAACACTGCAGATTAAAGAAATATGTATTCAGAATCATGTCATTCTTTTCATGCTTATTTCCAGAATAAGTATCGTTATGCTAATACTATGGGTAGGACTGCTGCCAACCTCATGTTAGCCTGGGACATCATTTCCTATAGTCATCTAAAATTAAATTCTATTACTCCAATTATCACTGTGGGCCCTATGTTTGTTTTATACAGCCAACCTTCTGTTCTCTTTTTCTTTTGACAATTGAATAGGGATTAAGCTAGAATAATTTCAGTAGAACATTAGAAGTAAAATTAAGAGTGGGTGAACCCTGATTATTCTGGGAAACAAACTTCAATGATATTACTTCTGCTTCCATGGTCAGGTTTTGTGGCTGTAAATTATGTTATCTAAAACACAGTCTAACGTCTTTTTTATATATTTACTAAGAATAACTATCTCATTGAATAAAAACAAGATGTTAGATGAAAGCTAATATCTCTGGATTGCTCCCCTATGTTTGAGGCAATATACCGGGCACTTTACGCCGGTTATTTTATTTCATCCTAACCATTTATTTCATAGAATCATTGTACAGATAAGTAAATTGAGGCCGTGAGAGAAAATGTTTTGTCTAAGGTCACTCTGATGAAGATGGGGGAGCTTGGTTTACAAATGGTACTGTATTCGTTTAGTGCCTGTGCTCCCCATTCCGCCTTTCTAGAAACTGGTAAGCATTTTGCCTAACTGGTCTACTGGAGTCTAATCTCAGGGAGGTGTACAAACATAAAACCCTTTCATTTTTTCTCTCCAATCACTTCAAACATGCTAGGAGGGGTTCCCTTTGATATTAGCTTGGGCAGATTGCTCTGTGTTCCAAGTTCTTTCAGGGAATATAAAGTCCACTACAGACCAACTGAAATCTTCAATCTCTTATCCAGGCTCATTCTCATATCCCTCTTTGCTGGGGTCATGCGTGGCTTGAGGAAATTGGAATGTAGTGTAGAGAGGATATGATGTGGTTTTTCACTCCTCTGTCCCAGTCCACTCCTTTCTAGGTTCCTTTCCCTTCTGAGGTGTTGTGTCAGGCAAACATGAAATGGAAAAATGGCAGAAGGCTTTTTAAATTCACTGGTGGCTGCAATAGTCCTTTCTTGGCTGTGAGGCTCTCAGTGAGGTGCATGTATGAACTCCGCTTTGCTTCAGATGCCCATGTCGTGGAGCTGAGGGCAGTCTTGCTAGTAGATTCCTGCCCCTGGCTGCAGAATCATGGGATGGGTCAACTCAAGCTTGCCTCTCTTCAGTCGCAAATCCCTAATCCATGGGAAACTTTTTTTTTTTTTGCCTTGTCAAATGGTGGGGCTGTAGGCTGCTCCCACCTAGGCTGTATTTCTTTTCCCTTTTATAACCCTCTCTGGAACCTTCTTCCTCTGCTCAGTCAGGTGCAGAGGGATGATCCAGAATTCCTCAGCACGTGTTCACTGAGGAGTGAGAGACTCAAACCCCAAACTCTATCTTGGCGGACCCCTCTCTCACTCACTGGGTTTCCACAGGGAATACACCCCTTCTCTCCTTTTCTCGTAGGGGAGGGGAAAATCACTCTCTTCCTAGGCCAATTACTACTTTCTGAGGATTTCCTTTTGAATTTTTTCTGTCCCTTTGCTTCTGTAAGCTGGTGGTGGGGACAGTGGCAGTGGCCATTTAATCGCTTACGTTCTGAAGGAGGTGTCTTGTCTTCTTGGCTACTCTTTTTATTCATTTATTTATTTAATTTTGTAGCTGAGCCATCCTGCCACCTGTTGGCAGCTCAGCGGCAGCTCAGTTCAGGCCGGGACTTGAACCGCTATTGCTCAGGGCTCGCACTCTTCAGTGAGCTCTTAACCAACTGAGCCACTCAGTCGTCCTTGGCTACTCTTTTGGAATGTGCGAGCATTTAGCTCCTCTTGTCTTCAGCTTTGGTGTCTTAGCTCTAATTCAGAGGCAACTGGAAAAGTTCCAGTCAACATCTAATTACATAGGTATTTTGTCACTTAGCCCTCACAAAACTCTAGGAGACATCTCTATTTTAAGGGAAGAATGCTAGACTAACAGATACTAGGTTACTTGCCCAAATTCTCACAGAAAATGACAAAAAAGTGAAGGGGAGGGAGTAAGAGGTACAAATTTTCAGTTATAAAATAAGTCACTGGGATGCAAGCTACAGTATAGGGAATATAGTGAATAATATCAAAACAACCTTGTACAATGACAGATAGTTACTTGATGTAGCATGGTGCTCACTTCATTAGGTGTATTAATGTTGAATACTATGTTGTACACCCCAAACCAATATAATATTGTATAGTAATTATATGTTAATACAAACAGAAAATGGTAAACGATGATTCACATTCTGTCAGACTCCAGACAATTTGTTTACTTGTTATCCATGCACCATGCTGCTATCTTCTTTACTGTCTGTGATAGAGGTTAAGATGTATTTACTTTCAACACACTTAGTGCCAATGCACCAAATTAGCACTGCTAATTATTCTTTTCCTAGGCAATTTCTTTATAGAAACAGATTATCAGCAGCTATGAAACACTCAGATAAGGAAACACTGGTTACATAAAGCTGATATATTTTCTGGTTTTCCTCTTTTTTTTTTTTTCAAACATAGCTTTCTTATTAATGAGTGTCTCCAGTTCCAGGTCCACACTGCTAACGCTGATGTTAATGGTGGGTTATGACAGAAATTATGTCTTAAAGCTTCGGTTATTTTAAAATGTGATTACGCTAAGAACATAGACTACGTGTGCTTGTGCGTATGTGTATGAGTGCATTCACAGATGCTTTGAAAATGTCTCCATATGCTAATTTTGTTTTTTTCTTAGTTATAGGGATGCAGAAAAGAATTTCCACAATATCTCTAACAGATGCTCCTATGCAGACCATTCCAACAAAGAGGAAATTGAAGACGTCTCAGGAATTCTTCAGTGTACTGCTAATATACTCGGTATATTAACTATGTATTTATATGGTTAAGAGAGAATGAATGAGGGGAAGAGGAAAAATAAAGGTGTAAATGTTTTATTTTCTACTAAAGAGAAGTTTGTAGGCTTCGGCAAATTGAGACCTTGTCTTCAAGTGATATAATTTCAACACTCCTAAAGATGTTTAAGTGGAAGTCACATGCATGATGTTTACCTGACGATTGAAGAGCATTGGAGTAAAGATACATTCCAGGGAAACTGTTCTAAATATTCACATGTTAGTATAATATTATTAGCCTCCCATAATCCGTAGTTCTCTGGCTGTGAACCTTGGCTGAAATGGGATCTCTTCTTGTCCTCTCTAAGCCCATACTCTATTGTTGCTATTATCATTACTCCATTATTTCTGGGAGGCCCTGTTTGCGGCTGGAGGATGAGTATGTACTTACAGTGGATTCAGAGGTGGTCAGGCAGGTCATCTGCTGAGGTCTGTATGCCCTGTGTGTGGTGGTGTGTGTGTCCACCTTGAAGATACTAGTATTTATGACATGGGGGCTGTTTCTGGATGCTCCCCAAATGACTAGGGGGTGCTGCTGTAAACTGCGCTGAATCAGGCAGCTAACGCTTACTACCTTACTATCTTTTTTTTTTTTAAAGATTTTTATTGGGGAATTGGGGGGATGGGAACAGCACTGGGGAATTGGGGGAAGGGGAACAGACAAGTTGCTGTCCTTTTGTTCTTCAGTCTAGTTGTGGAGGACGTTGCTTCACTGGCCCAAGTTGGCACCATCATTGCGCTCTTCCAGGACGAGGCAGATCAGTAGCCGGCTTCTGGGCAGCTGCTCATGCTGGCTGCTGGCTACACACGGTAGCCCATGGCAATTCACTGCCACAGGGGCTGCAGTCTACGCCATCGCTGGCAACTCACAGCAGCCCAGCTCCAGGTTGAGCTGTTGTTCATCATCTTAGCTGTGGAGGGCAGTGTCACTGGCCCTCATACGTGGGATCCAAACCGGGGTCCTCTGGCGTCCCAAGCCAGTTCTTAACCATCGCGCCACTCGGCCGGCCCCATTACCTTACTATCTTATATTCCTGGTGTGTGAGAGTATGTTGTATTATGTGCAAAGTAGCTACCAAAGCAGGAATATATTTTGCCCTAATATCTTACAGAGGTTTTTAAATAAAAAAATACCTCTTTCAATTTTTTTTCTTTTGAATCCTTTTTTTTTCCCTATGACTCAGATTGGGATCTGTGGAGTGGTGGAGGGTGGTGATGGGGAACAACAGATCTTAGTGACTGACTCCATACAGAACTCAGAATCATGCCTCAGAATCTGATGATGGAAACTGGGTAAAACTTGTTTGCCTGACTTTCCCTTGAAAGTAAATACGTTCCTTGGAGACATTTGAGTCCCTTCTACAGATTCGGTGACCTCAACCCATGAGTTTGCCGGATTTTTCTAAACATACCTGACTCGCAGAGGTCGACCTGGGTTTTACACTCAAGTTGGAACTCCAGCTATCCATGACTACATTTTCATCCTACGTAACTTTTGTAAACACAAAATATTGTACTAAGAACATGGAACTTTTGTGAGGGGAGGCATGTAGATATAAGTAGTTTGTCCATAATAGCGTTCAAGACAGTAATGGACTATGAAAAAGAATGCCAAAGATTTACTTACCTTAATCTTAGTACAACTGTAGGAATGTCATACCGCAAGTAAACCTTATTATTGGAGAAGATGAGGGATGAGAATAAAGGGGGGTGGAAATGGGCATTACCCAAAAGCTGTTTACAGTTTTCTGATTTTGCATTTTTAAGGACTCTCCCATCAGTAACATCTATTTCTCTTGACACATTGTGATTTTCAAGGGGTGGGGTGAGAAGATGTGCCACTCAGGGGGAATGTATCAGAATTTTGGCAGAGGGATATTTAATATTTTGAAAAGTTGTTTTTTACTTACCCAATTTCTAAATGTTTCCCTGCTCCTCATATCACCTTTCCTTATGCTTCCCACCCTGAAAATCAGTGAGTTAGAGAGAGTAGGAGGTGTTGAAGATAAATAAATATATGAGTATAAGGAGTGCCATGACTTGCGCATGAGTGTGCACAGTTCTCACAAAGAAACTCTAGAGCAGACAATTAGGGCAACCACCAGGCGACATGGTGGCCCAGCACAGCTTAATTGCTCTTCAGAATTTGCCATGAGATACGGATGACGTAGTGAGTAGAAAGAGCAGCAGGGGTGTGCTACCTGGTGACATTAGGGAATGAAGAATTTTAAGCCAGATGCTTATAATCTAGAAGGTGACAGTACAACAGCTTTTGGATTTCCATAAATGTTACATTTTTCTAGAAAAGAGATAATTAGGTATGAGGTTTTTTTTCCCTCTAAGTAATTATGGGTTGTTCCTAACGTGTACAAAGCACAACCTTGTAAAATTTAAATTTCTGAAGAATAAAACTAAATGCTTGTCACCAGTTGACCAGGTGCTGGCATGGATCCAACATGTGATTATGTGCCTAAGAGGTAGCTGTTCTCTTTTGAATAATGTCCTTTCATGACTGCTGAAATACAGACTCTCTGCGGACAAAGATAACAGCTTTACTGGTCATATTCAATGAAAGCTTTGTTTTTAACATGTCACTGAACTATGATTAATCTTGGCTTGCTTAGATTTCATCTTTTTAAAAAATTACATTTAAATTCTCCTGTGCAATCATTTATGAGAATTCAAGAATTGATTAACTCACAGGACAGAAAAGCACCATACAGGAAAGGAAGCCTTTTTCTGAGTGTGGGGGTTTCGCATGGAGAAATATTGTAGTTTCAACCAGGTTAAGAAAAATGAAGCCTGGGAACGTTCTCTGTGGATGCCAGAGGGCAATTTTCCAACTCTATGATTTATATTAATCACCTTTGGGGAGCGTGTTTAGAACATTGGTGGGTTGGGATTGGGGAATACATATTTTTCTCATCTTAACCTATTACAGGGTTGTGGTAGAGACTAGAAATGTGTTCACTCACTTGTATATTATTTATACTTCACTTATTATAAAAAAAGATTTAAAGTCATAAGTTAGAAAATATGAGCAAAGTAACAACTTTTACCCCTTTCAAAATGACCATCTCTATTGATTCAGTATAAACTCTTATAGATAGTTTGATTATTTGCAGGCTCTTCAGGTTGAAGTTTCAGTTTAGCAGTTGGCATGCAATAAAAAGAGGAACCCGGAGAGGGAGAGAAGTAGAGGGAGAGAGGGAAAGAGGGAGGGATGGAGGGAGAGAGGGAGGAAGGCAGGGAGGGGGAGAGAGAAAGCTTGTTGCAAAAGACCAGTGATGCCTCTGTCATGTATTTGTTCTCTCCACACACTTTCCTAGGACTCCCTGGAAATGCATGCACATTACAGAGTGGCTCATACCCCCCGACTAATGGGAAGGAACTATTTTCAGGCAACAGCGTTTTTGCCATTTATTTCGCTTTTGTTGGCTTAGAAACTGGTAGTTGCTATTTCTGTCTCATCACTTACAAATTAGGGATATTAAGTACAGACTGCTGCTTGTCATCTATTAGCCTCATTTCGGCGCTCTGGTAGGCCCTGTGATAGTGCTCTATGGTGATGCAGTATAGCGCTCTAAAGAGGCTCTTAAATTCTGGACAAAGGCCATACAAAGAAAGAGTTGTGAGCCATGCCGTCCCTGCTAGAGATGTTTAGTGTTAAATTTATTGCTTTATTTGGTACATGTCTTTTGCATACCAAAATGATCTAATTTTAGTTGTCTGAAAAATGTAAACCTTTTTCAGTGATAATCTACAAAGCCCAATTTTAGCTCCAATTAAGTAGTAAAAATATGTTTATGTGCTTGTGAGTTATGGCATTGAGTATACTCTTGGGAATTTTAACAGCTGAAGGGTACAATGAAGCATCTGTGATAAAGCATGGAAAGGTTTATACCATGTTTGTTGCTGATGTGTTGCCACCTGGTCCTATGGCATGAATTTAGGTGATGTGGGCGCATAGAGACAGAGAATGAGTAGGGAGAATTAAGGGAGGAGGATGATAAAATGCACAGCTTCCCTTGCCGTAGCACAATTTAAAACAAACAAGGGTTATGACTAGTTCAGTTATAATGCTATTAAAGGGGTTGTGGGTATTTCAGTGTAGAGCATCAAGAGCTATAAGATGAAGGAGACAATGTAGAAAAAAGTCATTTCACCGTAGGACAGAAATCAAATAGAAATGAGAGCTCTAGGTAATTCATTTACTGATGAATTATAACAAACAAAGGTTTACTGTTTTAACAGGCATTGGTTATTTACTAAGGATTAACAAAGTACAGTTTTATACTGCTTTTGTTAAGTGCTTTTTCACAGTAATCAGGGAGGACATCAATTGTGAAAGAATATTCATTAAAGTTTTTTCTGTTTTAAAGGTCTTCTGTTAGAATGGGGCTCTATTGTTTCCAAAAACTTGGCACATTTAAAGTCAGAATGAGAGGAATATTGTCACGGGATTGTTTGTTCGGAAGCTGCTGGTAAGGAGGAGGAAGGAGATGACCTTTGGGGCTTACACTTCACAATATTTTCCTGGTATCAGGGACCCTGAAACACTATGAAACCAGAGTTCTCCATGAAATGCTGCAGATCCCAGAGTCATTAGCTGGGATGGAGCTTTTTGTTGTTTGTATTTTACAAACAATAATTTGTTGCTTATATATTAACTTGTGTGTTCTTTTTCATTGTATTGTGGTTTGGAAGTGCATTAAGCAACCTTTTAATTGGCCATAAAACTGAAGAATTAGTCAGCCTTACTTAGGGTGAAGATTACCTTGGGGGTTTTCTCAGAATAACTCTTAATCATATAATTGTTTAGTGAATTGGAATATGTTTAACATATTTAGCATGTTGGAGAACTAGTTGGTGCAGTAACCACTTATCACTTTTACACGTGAATTAAGATTGATAGCAATAAATAAACTCTGCCAATATAGTTTTTGTTACTGAGGTTTGTTAACT